TATTTTAATGTTTTGTATTCCGTGTTTCTTTATTTCATTGCTCCAGTAGGTTGTATTAATTAATTGCTTTAAAATCTTTCTATTTAATATTTTAATGTTTTAGTGTTGAACGGTTTAATGTTGACATGTTGTAGTGTAACTAGTGTTGTACAGAACCTCCTGCAATAATTTTTTCAACATTTTTGTAATGGTGTCCTTTGCTCAGGAGGTCAATGTGTTGTGAAGTACTGGACTGACAGCAGGATAAAGCCTGGTTACATTAAAAAACATAGGACAGCCTAGTTAGTTGATAGAGAATAAGCTGCTAGGGGTACAGAATTTGCTAAATATTTAATTCACTAGTGTTCTGTTGGCAGTTAAATGCATTTTAGATGTGATTGAATCGGTAAACATCTTACGTAGTGCTCATTTAATACTTTAAGGAAACTGCAAATCCTTCAACTTTAAAATATTCTGCCTTAAAAAACTGCCCACTTCTGTATACTCCTTCAATTCACAATAGTGTTGTTTTGGTTGAAATGATTTGTATTGACCCACCTCTTTTTTATAAAAAAAATCATTGTGTGAAAAGAATGATCATTAAAATGGTTCTCGTGTTTGTTTGTAGGGTTTTATAATTTTTTTTCTAAATTGCACCTTAGGTAAGTGTTTGTTCCTGAACTTTTTTCAACTTGTTTTACAATGTATTTTTTTTAGAAAGTAAGTGGCTGTTTACATAAAAGTGATAGAACATCATTTCATGTAAGTTTTTATCTTTAGGCACATAATCCACCTTGACTTTGTGTGTTTTCCTAATGGCCAGCCATAAATGAAAGGGTGTGGCAGAATCTTTTTCCTAATTCTAAATCTATATTAGGGAGTGTTAAAGGCTACTGTTTGGCATGGCAGCAGTTTAGAAAACGAGGGAGCATTGTGGAAAATATGCAGCAGGTTTGGTCTGGGTGGACAGCTTCTATAGGAGGTCGCTTTAAACTCAATATTGATGCTGCAAATAAAGGAGAATGCTGGGGGTTGGGCTGGGTTCTTCGTGATTTAGCTTGTAGTTTCATAGTTGGAGGATCAACCAAGCTACTAGGGAAATGTATGCTCCGAGAAGCTGAGATTTTTGGGATTCGGAAAGCATTATGGTTGGCGTTGAGTTACGGTTGGGATTCCATTGATGTTGAGTCCGAGTTTCTTCAATCAATTTCTGAGATAAGGGACGGAGGTTCATTGAATGCTTTTGGAATGATCATGGAGGATATTAGAATGATTCAAGCAAGTTTTTTGGAATGATCTGAGTTTATGTTTTTATCAAAAGCAAAAACAGCGTGTTCTTTGCCTAATCAGTCTTGTTGGTTTTGAGCCCCTCCTGAGTCCTGATTGTATTGTTGGTGATCTTGATCATAACATGATTATATCAAATAAGGGTTGTATTATTATTATTATTATTATGTAATACAAAATACACGTACTCCTAACAAACAAGTTCAAAGCTTCCTCAATTGTAATAACCACAATTAAAACTAAACATATTCCAGCAACTGGACATTCATTTTTTTTTTCAAAAATGTCATCCGATTATTCACCATGGCAAAGGTAAAACTGGGTGTACCACATAGTTAGTGACCAATATATGCAGTCATGACATTTTTTAGTGCTAGCGTCCGTCAAGAGGTTATGAACGGTGCAACAAAAACTTCACGTGCTCAAAAATAACCAGGAAGCTCTCCACACCTGGGGTTACTATGTAGTTCTTGAAGATTAATAGAAAATCAAGAGATGACATGATAAAAGTTTCAGAATCACATCGACTGAGATATGGGGGTTTTGGAATATGAGACAATGGCAGTCCCCTCTAACTCTTCTGCCGTAAACTTTTTGTGATTGACTATGCATTTCCACCAAACTTGTGGCTGCCAAATACATAATCATTCTCACGAAGAGCAAATTCTCGCATTTCCACCAAACTTTTTATTTGAACTATTATATTTTCAAGTCATTTTCTTTTTTTTACAAATTCATTTTTTTCTGCAAGTACTCTGCTTTTCATAAAAAAGAAAATATGATAATAATTGAACACTACTGCATTATAATTAGACACGGGAATGATACCTGGCGTGGACATACCTGGAGTGGAGCAGTGCAGTCGTGGATTTGCTGATGGGAAGAAGAAAACGAGCGAGGAACTGCAGCAGCCGCGTCGCCTTCAGCCGCTCGCCTTCAGCCGCTCGCCTTTGCCCGCGCCGCCTTCAGCCTCTCGTCTTCAGCCGCGTCGCCTTCAGCCGCTCTCTTCAGCCGCGTAGTCTCTTTCGTCCGGAGGGAGTAGCGATTGGGCGTAGATTGGGAGCAGCTCTCTTTCGTCCGCGTAGATTGGGAGGGTTTTTAATTTGGGCGATTATTTGGGAGGGTTTTTGGCTGGGTTGCTGGGCTTTTAATTTTAGAACTTTTGATAAGGGTTACACACAACTGACATTGAAAAGTAATTTTTTAATTTATAAAATATACCCCATTTCTAAATTAAAGTTTTCGGAAATTAGAAAAATGGCCCCGTTTTTCTAATTCATGTCGGTTTTTTAATGTCCCATATGAATAATGTTTTTTTATTTATGAAAGATACCCGTTCAACTTATTCGAACTTTCATTATTTATAAATATGAGCCCGCTCCTACATACTCTAACGGTTCTAATTGAACCCATATTAAAACCTAGTTATAGAATACATATTTTGCACTAGTGTTTCTTGAACCAAACACACCTAAATGTAATGTTTTTTTTTTTGTTTAAGATGACATCAACTTGATTTAAAAGAAAAGTACGGGCCCTCTTCGCCACTCTTGGCCAGCTGCGCAACCGCTTTTTAATTTTTTTGGCTGTCAATCTATCTTCTTTATTTGAGACTCTCCCTTCTCATTTCCATTTTTAATACTCACCCATGTAAGAAATTAGGAGTCCAAAAGTTCTGTCTTTAACATTTTGGACTCCTAATACCTCACCGCTACAAATGGTTTTAGGATAGATCCTAGTTAAGTGATCTCTAAAATAGAGTAAGAAGACATGAAATGCACCGAGTGGCAAAATGAGATTGAAATATATATATATATATATGCACAAACTTTTATTCCTTTGGTGGCATTCTCGTGTAATTTGGTATCGAGGTATTCAATTCAATGTTGTACGTAGTAGTTAATAACTAAGCTAGCTAGAAATGCAAACCAATAGCTCATGCACAACATGCTTGTGTTCACTTATATTGTATGACACTACATTCATTTATTATAGATATTATAATAGATATTATAAGGAAGAGTACAAAAAATACATGTTATTGTGTCCGTTTTCAGATAAGGTCATGCGTTTCACTTTTTATAAAAGTAGGTCATGCTTTGAACTCCATTATCACACCAAGGTTTTGGGGCTTGACGCCGTTAGAATTATCCGGAGGAAGACGATGAACAATAACTCCGATTTTCAAATGTGCTCGGAAATACCACGAAGGTGCGCCTCAACAAGCTGACCGCTAGGTCATCTTTCTTTTTTTTGTTTCCAGCCACCCTTGTTACCGCAAAGTCCATCAGAAAAATGATATTAGTGAATTCATTTTAAAAAATAATCCAAACATATTTAAAAAATCCAAAGACGAATTGAAGGTGGTTCAGAGGTCATCTTGACGAGGCGTACCTTAATTTAGGTATTTTTCTTATAATTTTGTGGGCAATTTTGAAAATCGGAGTTACTAGTCATTGTCTTCCTCAGACGTTTTTAATGGCGTCAGGCGCAGGGATTCTCTTGTGATAATGGAGTTCAAACACATGAACCATTTTGTTAAAAATGAAACACATGGTTCTATCTCAAAAGAGACCTAACCACAACTACCTTTTGCGTACTTTTCCCTATATTATAATACGGGTAACAAATAAAAGCTCTAGAATAGGACTGAATAAATCTCAAAATACAAAAATATAGGGCTAAAATTTTTTATTCTAAGAAAATTAAAGAAGTAATTTGTACTCGCTCTTTAATTCATATTATATTGTACCCTCTTCTTCTAATCCCCAATAGGACTTTATTTATTAATAAGATAATCATATTTTTGTTTATAATAAAAACAAAAAAACATAGGAATAATAAAAATACTCATAAAATTATATTAAAAAAATAAAAAATAAAAGAAAATAAAACTTAAAAAACCCAAAAAAAATATTCCTTCGTGTACCCTGTGCCCCCACATCTCTCGCATCCCATCACCGCGACCTCTGATCACCGGGAAAATGTCATCTTGTGTAAAAAATGTCACATTCCCTAAGCTCCTATTATAGCCCTCAATAAACTAGGGTGAGACTAGCTATTACTCAATCTTATAATTAGTACATACAGAATTAATTTTGGTGACAACTCCGGTACCTTTCTAAAAAGGTAGATTCTATGGTACCCATAAGGTACCATACCTTTGTCCACATGGACCAATGAGAATGTAGCAGTTGAATTATTTAAATCTAAATTAAAAATGATAAAGTGGTGTGGTCCAATCAAATTAATGGTAGGTACGGTACCCCATTTTTAAGAAAGGTACCGGAGTTGTCACCTTCTAAAAAATGAGGTATCGTACATACCATTCATTTGATTGGACCACACCACTTTACTATTTTTAATTTAGATTTAAATAATTCAACTGATACATTGTCATTGGTTCATGTGGACAAATGTATGATACCTTATGGGTACCATAGAATCTACCATTATTTTTTTTCAAAATTTGGAGTGGACAGGAGTTTGAGTTCGACATGCCCTAGCTAAGCTTCGACGCCCATTATATTAACAGTTATTACATGTGAGTTCATTAATTAAACTACATACATTTTATTTTATGGGGAACGTGCATAAAGTTGTGAGCGTGTAACTGTGTAAGTGGATCATTTAACTATACTTGGCCGGGATTCTCATGCATTTCATTCACTATATACCCATATAAACATCATCCATATATAGGCTTAACTTCTGTTAGGAATGTATATATGTATATGCATATGTGGAATTATAATTATAATTATTGTACATAAAAAATGTCTCACATTGGCGTGGAGAGAAAGCGGAGACGACAGATGAATGAGCATCTCAACATTCTGCGCTCCTTAACCCCTTCTTCCTACATCCAAAGGGTACGTACAAACGTACTTATAATTACCCACTGCACCTAATAATCTTCGTTTAATCACTCTTTGAATATCACGACTTTTCTCTTTATAATTGAGCTCCAACTTGTAGACTCCGTTCGGTGATCATATTTTTTAGCTCGTTGGTCTTACTGGTCAACTTTTCCGCGCATAGAAATGTATAATAATAAAAATTAGTAAGATTAGAGTCATATCATTTTAACTATTGTTCATATGAGTATAACTTTTCTTTATTATATTACTCCATAATAAAATATACTAGTGTGATGCGTGTCAATTTGATACGTTTTAAAATGAAAAATACTACTACAAAATAGATATTGTGAGTAATTCATAGGACCCGAAGTTGAATACAATGCATTTTTACTATGATATAACCATAAACAATAATAAATTTGTACTTGTTAAATGACGACTATATCTTTTAAATGTGGTAGTGTTGCGGTTGCAGCTATTGTGACCGTTGCAGTGTAAATTAATTTTACGTTCGAACGAAATGAGCAAATAATTAGTGTTTATGTCCTGATAAGATTCGATACGGCTCCGTTGTGGTTTGATTGATTTACGTAGTAGATTTTCCCCGTGAATTGAAATCGCATCTCCATTACAGTCGGGTGCGGTTGCGCTACAGAATGCAACCGCAATATGGAGGGAGTACATAATAAGGATTCCACTGTTTTAGACATTTTGTTTTTGAAAAAATACACCAAAAAGTTAAAATAAATTGTGAAATTCTTTATATTAAGATTTGAATCTACTTAAAAATGTTTTGGGCTTTATTAACAAAAAAGGCCTATAAGTCTCCACCAATTGGAATTTAAGATTTTTTTTTTATTTTTACATATGCAATATTGGTGTCATATGAAAGATCATAAAAAGTCATACATATTGGTATTTTTTTATAAAATATGGAGTACAAAGAAAATAATTATAGCAAAAAAAGAGATTTTTTTTTCAAAATGAATAATCAAAACGAAAAGCGATCAACGACTCCATGTGTTATTAGTGTAAACGTTTACATGTTTACGTTTCTCTTCCACTCTTTTCTCCAGTTTTTTTGAATGTTTTCCCTCCCGATTTTCTCCTATTTTTACTCTATTGCGTTTTCTAATTCGATATTTGGATGTTATAATTAAATGTTCTAATTAAATTATGTTAACCAATAAGAGAGAGACACGTCAGCGGTTTATAACAAAGTTTTACTATATAAAACAATAGATATTTCAATAATATTAACAATTAACATGGGATCGAAAATCATAGAATAGTCTTTCAATTGTTCAAATAAGTGATGCATTTAGGATCAATATCATGTTGATAAGAATTTTGTATCCTATAGTTATGATACCGTACGATGAGTGATAGATATATATATATATATATATATATATATATATATATATATATATATATATATATATATATATATATATATATATCATGTTGAATTAGGTGATCAATTTGATCGGGTTTTCTTCCATTTTAAGAGGTAGTGTTATTTGTGTTGTTAATATATAATATGTTGTTAATACAATTATTAGAGAATTTTAACCCAATTTTGGTATATAAAATAATGGATTTTTGTATTTTTATATACAAATATATAATATTGATGTCATATGAAAGATATTTTTGATATATTTTTTGATATATATTTTGTTAAAATTGGATTATAAATATAAAAGTTATATCACTTTAAAAAAGAGAGATTTTTCTCCTCGTTTTGCTCTAAATTAGTTGTAGTGCACAATTTTGAATTGTGGTGAACATTGAATTAATTATTTGTTTTAATCATAGTGATAATAGAATTTGCATTGTCCAATAAGAAGCTGACACATCATCATTTTTTATCTCAAGTTTATTATATAGAACAATAGATTTTAATTTTTTTCCATATATCGGCAGAGATTCATTATTTTTTTGCTTGAGATTATGATGGAATAAAGCAAAATGGCTCACTAAACTGTCTGCGCTTCTTTGTTATGAAGCAGCAGTCAGTCCATGCAATTTTGGACACGTTTTTCACTATGTGTCATCCAGAAACAGTCTCTCTGTGCTTTAGTACAGGGGTAAGACTGTGTACATCCGAGCCCCCTTTACCCCACCGTAGGTGGGAGCCTTTGCGGCACTCGGGTAAATGAAAATGATGATGAAAGTGATATCGGCAGAATCAGTTAGTATAGCCACTTTAGTCAGAATTTCATAAATTTCAACAGAATCGATCGATTCAGCTATTTTCGATATTAACATAGGGTTTCTTGAAATACTTTCTGCTATACCTAGACGATTACACCATCTCCCAGTACTTTAGTTGGATTGGATATACATGGGTCAAGTGTTACAGAGTATTAATAAATCTGGAATATTTACCTAAATAGGAGTAAATAAAAGAATAATTGCAACACTAAGAGTTTAAAGTTTAAATTCTCAAAATAGGAGTATTTCTTCCTATTCAACCCTTTCCTTTGTCCTTGATAATAGGATTTTTAAACAATCATTATAAAATATAAAAAAAATCAAAAAAAAAAAATCGTAAAAAATAATTAAAAAATATATAGACCTCAACCACCACCTCAGCCACCTTCCAGCACTGCGACCTCCGGTCGCCGGAAAAGATTGCCAAGTTGGGGAAAAAATGTCATCATGATGGCAATTTTGAAGAGAAAGCAAGAGAAAGTTGGATATTTTCAAAGAGTAAAAATGCCATATTTATGAAATTTTCAGAGAAATGTGACATTTTTTACATAAGATGACATTTTTTTCCGGAGACCGGAGTTGGTGGTGTTGGGAGGTAGAGGGCGCGTTGGCAGTGACGTACATATTTTTTAAATATTTTTTGGTATTTTATTTTATTTTTTGGACTTTTATAAAATTCTTTAAATAATTTATTTATTATTTATTATTTTATTTTTTCACGTTTTCATTATTATTTTATAAATATTTTATTATTTTTTATATTTTTTATAAATAAAATTATGATATTCTTATTAATAAAATAAATCTATTGGAAATTATAGGAAGGGGGTAGAATGGGAAGAAGAGATATATATTAGTCCTATTTTGAGAATAAAAGGATTGTACCCCTAATGTTGAATTTTGGGCTTATTTTACTCCTATTTAGGAATAATACCCGATAAATCTCGATATCTCAACTATTGAGTGAAATAAACTGGTACTTTATATATGTACGTCTAAAATGTTTCATACTCCATATATAACTGTACCATTTTAACGTTTGGTTTAAAATAATTTCACTTCATACCCTTAATTTCATGAAGTATGAAAAAAATTGTGTGCGTTTAATTATTTTACCAAGTGTATGATAGGAAGATCAAGCATCCATAGTAGGTGGAGTAGTTGAGTTCATCAAAGAATTGCACCAAGTTCAACAATCAATGGAGGCCAAGAAACGATGGATACACAGTTTAAGCCCACCCCGGTCACCATTGCAGCCCATTACTCCGACCCAACACCGGGAAACATTATCATCTTCGAGCAACTGCATGATCGATGTAAATAAGAACAGCGGCGACGAATTCAATGAGGTCGGGGCATGTTGCAACTCTCCGGTAGCGGATGTTGAGGCCAGGATATCGGGCTCCAACGTTATTCTGAAGACCATTTCTCGTCGAATTCGGGGCCAAATCCTTAAAATAATCAATGTCTTGGAGACACTTTCCTTTGAGATCCTTCATTTGAACATCAGCAGCATCGATGACACTGTGCTTTACTCCTTTGTTGTTAAGGTATAAAGTAATAAAGTGTTATATTAATATTTGAGTTACTCCTCCTATTAGGTTGATGTTTTAGCATGAAATCACAAATCTTAATATTATATCAGAGTCAAACCGATCCATAACCAATGTGTGTATCTAGAGCTGTCAAACGGGCCAACCCGGCTCGAACTGACCCAACCCGCGGCGGGTTATGAGTTTCATTGGTCGGGGCGGGCTTACCCATTTACTGTCGGGCCAAGATTTTTATGACCCTAACCCAACCCACGGGTTATGCGGGCCAACCCGCAGGGCATAAAAGTTAAAATAAAAAAATAATTAAATATCTAAATTAAAATCCAAACACAATTGAAATAATAAGATACATCGCTGCCAATGACTTCATAACTTTGTAAGTCGATCCAAAAATTGTCCAAGGGTTTAAAAGGCAACCACCATTACAATTGTTTAATGTTTTAATTCAACTCAAAACAAAAACATGATAGCTTTGACCAAACAATAGTCTTTCGTTGCAAAGTTTAAAAAAACAATTAAATATCTAAATTAAAATCCAAACACAATTGAAATAACAAAAGGTATATTTGTTATTTGTATATTACTTTGTCGATCACTGCTATATAGAATTATAAATACATAGAGTATACGGAGTATGATTTTTGTCTCCAGCTCACGGGTTGACCCGTACGGGTTGACCCGCTAAACCCGCAACCCGTTAGGGTTGACCCACCAAGCCCGCAAAATAATCGGGTCTGAAAATGACGACCCTAACCACATATAAGTGGGTTGAGACGGGCCAACCCGCGGGATACACAGTGTGTATCCCATTATGAAAAAATGACGACACGGTTATAAAAATCACAATGACGAATCGATGATAAAATGAATGACCGTAACAATTCTGATTAGAAGTACTAGATAAATAAAAGGTTAGCTAATTAGGTATAAATCTAAATATTAGATATATTTAAATCTGACAAATAAAAGGTTAGCTAATTAGGTATAATAAATAAATAAATGATACTTACGTTGTATAAATTAGACCATAACGATTGTGATTAGAAATACTGAAATCAAAATGTATTAGTAAATTAGCTACCTACGTTATACTGGTATTTAATCTTAAGGCTTCGATGAGGAAAAAACGTTTATTTTTTAGTATTAACACTGCAATAGTTATGATATGTCACAGATTGGGCTGGAATGCCAAATCAGCGTGGAGGAGCTTGCACATGAAGTTCAACACTGTTTTTGCTCTAATGCAGCGCCGCTTATATGAAGGAGAAGGAAACCTAGCTAGGTAGCTATGGATCCAATACACAATTCGAACGAATTTGTATTTCCCTATTTGGAAAGATACTCTAATGTTACTATAGCTCATTAGTTTTCCCAAAATTTTAAATATTTATATTCTTTTCAATAGCATATGACCAAATTAAATATAAAAGACATATATATAACATTAAAATAAGAACAATCAGTAATAATGAACGACTAACTCTGTGTGTTGTGGCTAAAAAATATGAATGAAGATTAATTATACTTGGGATTGCGTATAAATATACCCCTGTAGTATACATGTGAGAACAAATATACCCCTATTCTATTTTTCAGAACAAAAATACCTTCAAGCATATGTTGAAGTGCATATATACCCCTGAACTTTTTGAAAAGTGCAAAAATACCCCCTCATGCTCTTCTAAAGGAGAAAATTTACTCATATTGACTTTAAATAGATCAAATTATTTCAAAAAACACAGAAATAATTATAAATTTGAAATATAAAAATAAAGATTTATTATTATGCTAAAATATTAACTCTTTAATTTTAAATTGAAAAATTATTATTTTTCGTTGTAAATCAAGCACTACTTCAAAATTCATTAATTTAAATTTTGGTCTTGTTGCGAAATTTAAACACATTGTTACATTTTTTGAAATACTATTCTTTGATTTTGTTTAACCTTAATAAAATTCAATCCACTATTTTGTAATATTGTACTATTTACCATCATACAAAACATGTAATTTTTATAGATAGTGCAAAGAATGAAAAAAAAAAAATATTTTTTTACATTGCAACACATATATATGTTAACAATTTTTTGAAAGAATCTTAAATATATAGTAATGTTTTGAAATAATATTTCATACTAAAAAATATTAAATTATATAAAAACAATACAATGGAGAATTGGACACATGTACAATTTTAAATATTTTAATATTTTAATTTCGAATTTTTAATTTTGTTTTTTGTTTTTTTTTTGAAATTTATTTTATCAATTTAAAGTCAATAAGGATAAATTTGCTCTTTTATAAGAATATGAGGGGTATATATTTTTGAACATTTTAAAAGTCCAAGGGTATATATACACTTCTATATAAACTTCAGAGTTTTTTTTGTTCCGAAAAATAGAACACGGTATATTTATTTTCACACCCATATTACAAGCATATATTTGTAGCTTTTCCCATTATTCATTCTTACATGCATGGAGATGGATAGTAACGGGTAACATGTGCAATGTTTTAGAAATAGCGATGCTCATAGAAAAACATGTCTTATTATATAAATATCACAAGTAACATGCATAACTCTTTATTTATGAATAATGTGAGCAATTTGTTCGTGATTTAAGAATTAAATACTAAAATAAAGAACTCATATAATTTTAATTAATGAGATCGTTGAAAAAACTTACCAAAAACACACAAAACCATGGAAAGAAAGAGAGAGAAATGTCAAAAATTTAATTTTTTGTGTCTATTTCTCTCATGTCACATGTGCACCGTGCACATTGCAGCATTGGAGATGCTCTTACTTATTACGAAACCATCAATGATTAACGGTTGATTCATTGATCATTTCTACTAGTAATTAATGTCAAAATGTTAACTAATTATCATTTAACAATACTCCGCAATATTAATATAGAAATAGATTAAGGGAAGAATTAATATTTAATGAAAGAAGTAACAAAATAACTCACAACTTTAATATTGAACAAGCTTCAAACAAGAGCAAAATCAAGAAATGGGAGTTTTAGCTCCTCATTTGGAGTCTAAGCAATGTTAGAAAAATATAAAAAATAGAGATATTACGCGAAATAGGACTAATTACTGTCATGTTTTTATTTCTAAAATAGAACTAATTACTGCCATGTTTTGGAAGTACCAGACTTCAAACATGGCAATATTTTCTAAACATGGCAGTGATTAGTCCTATTTTGGAAATAAAAAATATGGCAGCCCAATTTTGGAATTTTGAAACTGTTTTAGTCCTATTTCGAGAAGTTTCCAAAAAAAATACTATTGTAAGTTGAGTTTAAAAATATGGAAGAGGAGATATCGAAATGCGAAGAAAATGAAGTGTATATATAGGTGTTTTAGTGAGGTTCGGTCAGATACCTGATCAAGTATATGACGAAATCTTATTTTTTTCATGTTCTCTTGTTTTATTTGATTTTGTATATCTCCACGTGAAATCATACCCGACCGGGTATGGCTAATACTCTGTCGGGTGTGACACATCAAATCACATATTTAGTATTATTTCTTGTCCTCATGTACCTTCCTTTGATCTTGTAAGATTCTTTCAATGATCTTTTGTTGGTTCTTGATTAATTCTTGCTCATGATGATTCTAAATTTACTAAATTACAATAAACTAGAAAAATAAAATGATTGCATCGCAAATATAGATTTGTTAAAACTAAATGTGTCGTAAATGTGCAATTACTACAACACAACGTAAAAACTAATTAAAAACAAAAACATAAACATCAAAAAACGAATGCAATGGACATCGTATCGGAGAGTACATGCCTTGAGATCAGGACAGGCATCAGAAGTTGTGGTCTGTAAATAAAGGCCGATGCTTTCAAGGTTACGATAATTATTGTCAACAGTACCATGAAAGCCATTCATGGAGTCACCGGTGCCCAATCGGAATTTGAATGTACAGCGTTCACCGGAAGACGGGTTGGTTTGCCCGTAGGGTCCATACGTGGATTTGTTAGTCACAAATGTTATCGACAACACTTCAGTGGAGCTCCTCAAGCCATGCACCTCAGTGAGGAATTCGGTGGGATAGTTTAGTCTGATCTGCAGCCTCATCATTATAATGCATGTGATCCATGAATATATCAATTATTGCTGGCATCATATCCCCAAATGGAAAATAATCATACAATAGTTTGACACTTGAACACATTAATGAAGAATTGTCCAAAACTGATTCTCAATGTAAGAACATCTTCAATGCAAAAACGTGAACAACGCATACGTGACATGAGAGATAGTCAATTAAAAAATATCAAATAGAATATCTTTTTCCTTATTTGAAAGAGAAATTTACCATGCGTGTGATTAAAATAATTGATCTTTCCCATTATATGACTAGGCATTTATATTTCCTATTATACTGCCACATGCCATGCATAATAATAGATAGTATCTTCCGTTTTTTTCCTTTTCTTGACCCATACCAACTCATAGTTTTATCATTTTCACATGACTAGTCATATATTGGGAATCTCCTGTGCTGCCACTAAGTTTGCCATGATCTTCGGAAAACTTCAAAGCGCCGTCCTTGAAATAAAGGAAACGCAGAGAGTTAATGGAGGAGGCAGAATAGGAAATGAGGATTCCAGCAACTTCACCACAACCACCATCATCCCATGACTTTCCTCTACCCGCTGGCATCAAATCGATTTTGAACATTATACAGTTAACGTCCGCACGTAACTAATTTCGTTCTATCGCTTGATGAGGTCTATATTCATCATTCATAATATATATATATATATATATATATATATATAATGTGTGTGTGTGTTGCCTAGTAATAATAATTATATATATGGAGCTTGGATTAATGTGGAGGGACACAAAGAGTCATTGGAGCGGTTCGGTATCCAAGGCAACCCTTCAAGTCCCTACACATCTCGTGGGAGGGTTGATCAGCTCTTACCAATATGAAGTAAGTTTTTAAAATTACTGTACTGTATTAATAAAATAAATTAAACTCGAATAACTTTGTAAAATAAAAATTATAGATTCCGGCCAGATGGAGTCAATGCTAGCGGGGGAAGGAAAGTCAAACAATTCAATTGACTCCATCTGGCCGGAATGTATAATTTTTATTTTACAAAGTTATTCGAGTTTAATTTATTTTATTAATACAGTACAATAATTTTAAAAACTTACTTCATCCTTCACTCGGAAGGGTTATGATAAACATTTGTGTTTGGTTGGAGGAACATGGAGCAAATAAAATTAGATAGAATGAATTTCTTAATTTAACCTTATTCGATAACTTGTTATGGAAAGCTGGATAAATATATATAATGAGTCTAAAACAGGATTACACTCAATCCTTGAGAGTTGAGACCCTCAGAACTAACCGGACAATTATCTAGGATAAATATAAAGCCTTTTGACCTGGATATTACTAAAAATAAGATAAAAGACAAAAAAGTGACATGTTTTTGAAAATTTCAAAAATGTGACCAACCACCCCCTTGCAGTGCAAAGTGCTCTAACCAAAGTGACTCCGACCAAAGTGACTGTCCCACCGGCCACAGTGACTGCCCCACCGACCACGTTGACTGCCCCACCGACCACGGTGACTGCCCCACCGGTACAGTGACTGTCCTCGACCACAGTGACTCCCCGGCCACAGTGACTGCCCACTGGTCACAGTGACACGCTAACTCCGATCATAGTGACACACCGCCTCCGGTGTCCCCGCCTACCCAACCTTAGCGCCGCCCTGACCATCACCGCGGACCGTCGTGGATCGCCGTCGCCGACCACCACCCCAGACCCAATTACCTTCCCAGACCCCAGCCACCTTCCCAACACCCTCCAATCCCCTCCCCACCTCCCCAGTCCGACCCCCACCCCAGATCTAGCCCAAACCGCACTCAAACAGGCAGATCTAGCTCTGACCAGACCCTCTACAACCGTTGCACCATATCTGCACTCCGTCTTCATCTCCCGCACATCTGAATCGACGGCGGCGGAGTAGCGAGACGAAATCGCCGCATCCTTGAAGCCCCAACCGCCGCCCTAACCACATGTGGTTAGTTCAAAACACCGCTGCATCGAAAGCTCTGCCATACCGCCGCACCACGTTCGGACATAAGGAGTAGAATAAGAAATGTGCAAGTGAGAGCGGTTGATGAAGGCAACGGCGGTGTTGAAATCGGCGGCGGTGGTGTTGAAATCGGTGGTGGCGGTGTCGAAGTTAGCGACGATAGGTGTTATGCGCAGGTGAGAGTGCTAGATGCCTAGATGAGGAAGTGAAGCAGACTCAGGCGACAAAGGCCTCAGTTGTGCGGAGAAAAGGTATTGGGTCAGATTTTTGGAAAAATACAAAATGGTCATACTTTTGGAATTTGAAAAGCCATAAATAAGAAACGGGTCATTATT